TCATCTGTGTCAGAGTCTGAAAGAGATGCCTCTTGAAGTCTTTTGCTGAGAAATTCAGTGGCGTTCTCGAGTTCGGCGACGGGGATCGACCGCGAGACCGATAGTTCTGACATGATGAGATGATGGAGGCTTCTTGAGCTATCCAAGGAGTGTCTTGCTGGACGTATAACACCTCAGCGACGGGGGAGATGATGAAGACTTGGATCATGTACATGCTGATATAAAATGGGACTTCATGGCATTTTCACCGGTCTTATAATGTGCGGTTAAAATACAATATCCACGAGCACAAGGTCTAGACCCAAGTTCGTTGGATGGAAGGAAGAACAAATGGGCCCAGAACGCCGCTGAAGTGCTTCACGACCTTCCTGTTTGCGTAACTTGCCGTATGACTGCATAAATAGTGCTCAAAGAGGCAGTGGAGTGGCGGTATTACGGGATACTTTTGGTAATCAACCAATAGGTCTTTCGCCGTGTCCCATGGAGGAGATTACCAACAAAACAGACTTACTTATATTCGGTCAGCTAGAAACTCTAAGTATACGAATACATGTAGCGAATGTGGGCAAAATAGGATGTCACGAACGGCGCATTTCCATGTTTCTTTGGAGAGGGGTTCTCTTCAATTTTTGTGGCGCGACATCGAACAGAGCAGAGCTACGTCCAGGGACCTTACACTCTAGAAAAGTGGTAGTACATGGTAGACTTACATTACCAGCGCGATTGAGAATCAGGCTGGCGTGTATAGGAGCACTCATTACCATGGCACTGATACTATAGGTACCTTGTTCAAGTGCAGCGATTGAGCTAGACCATCATACTCATAACAGTTCTTGGTGCATTCCACATATCAAGTCAAATTGCCTAAAACTACATAAGGTCAAAGATGATTATCTAGAAGGCTTAATGACGGGAAGACTAGCACAAGGCCAGGAAGGGTTGGTCTCTGGCTTGCCAAACTCGACATTGCCAACAATGGTGTAAATGTTGTTGCAGAGCGGCATCTTGACGTAGCCAGGCACGCGAATGCCGTTTCCAAACCACAAGCTGGATCCCTCGCTAGGCTGTATGTTGGTGTAATTCATGTTGAAGTTGTTGTTCATCCGGCCGCCCTCGACCCAGCCTCCATACACAGCGGCGACGATATCTTCCTTTGTGACACCACCCCACTGCTTGCCATCCATGGTGTCCGTACCAAAGAGGGCAGAGAAGGGGTTGTTTTCACTGGGTCTGATGGAGGGGTGACCGATGCTCAACTCCACACCCTCGTTTCTGATGTCAAGAAGGTAGAAAAGGGCGCCGTTGTAGCAGGCAGCAGCCCTCTCGTGCGAGTCGGCAGGCAAGAATGGCCAGAGAGAATCGTCTCTCTCGGTCTTGCCCATCTTGCAGGGGAGACCGGTTTGGCTGGTGCTGCATGTTAGTAACGGCTCGTTGAGGTGCGCTAGAGAGTGGGCAACATACAGGACGAAGGGTCTCCGAGCCGAGGGAACAGTCTCCCAGGCAGCAAGCATGAGGTTGGGGTAGAAGAGCTTCTTGATCACCTTGGACATCTCCCTGAAGTCAATGTCGTCGGGGGTGGCAGACATGAGGCCGTTGTCCAGCGCGGCAGTCAAGAACTTGATCGTAGCGTCATCTCTGGGAGTAAAGATTCTCTTGAGGTACTCGACCTCAGCTGCCTTCCAGCTGTCGAACACGTCGCCCATCATAGCAGACAATGTTCCATAGGCAGGCTTGGGTGAAGCACCTCTGTTTGCTGGCGTCAGTGATCCGAATCATCGTGAGCTATAATTTATGAAGTTTGAGACTTACGGAAGGAGGAAATCCTTTCCAATAGCCCAACTGGTGAAGATTGTGTAACTGCTGGTTGTGGTGATTTGAGATCGCATTGTCTGAGTGAGGAAACTCTGGAACAGGGCCGAGTACACAACTTTTCAAATCGTTAGCTTTGATGAACCAATGACATTAGAGAGTTCTTCGGGAGACTTACAGATGTTATTGGTGTAAGCTTGCGCAATACCAACGACTCCGTATATGACGTTGAGCATAATTCTCTGCATTCTCGCCGAAGAGTCGCTCTCTGCAAGAGGGACAGAGAATTTCTCGGCAAAGAGACCCATCTCGGACTGAATGTCCATCTGTGCCTGGTCGAGAGCCTCGAAGTACCGACGGTGGAACTGAGTCGGTCGTTAGTCGCTGTTCGCACACGTACAACATGTAATGTCTTCCATTGGGATGTGGGACTTACTTGGTGCATCTTGGAGAAGGAGTTGAGAATCAGATGGCCAGCGGGGTACTTGGTATCCTCGCACGTCAACGACGTTGAGCAAGGCACGTCAAGCAGCTGCGTGCATCGCCACATCTCCGGGCCGCCGAGATACCACGACGCGAACTGGCTAAACTCGAACTTGACCTCGTTCGGGCCAGAGTCGTACTCCTTCCAGGCCTTGAGTACCTCGTTGAGGGCCTCAGTGGCGCCGGCTGCCGCCCATCTCTTGTCAGGCAAGGCCTTTGCATCAATGACCGTACCTTGGCACTTGACGGTTTTCCAGTCCACGGCGGCGGCGGCTAGAGCCGTGGCTGAGGATAGCCAGACGGCTACGAATGAGAGGCGCATTGGGAGAAGGACTTCGTATCGAGACTGAAGGGACGTAGAGGGTTGCAGAGGAGCTCTACCTGCGAGTATCAGCTCGATCCGAAGCTGCTGGTGACTGACATAGTCTTATACATTCCTCATCAGGCGTCTCCATGATCGGCAGTCAGTGAACTCAGAAGTCTGGGGCGACGACGCATAGTGCTTGCCTGACACATCCTTAGTCCGTCCGCAACTTTTCCGCTGGGAAAACCTAGACTTGGCAAATTGTGGAAATTCAGTCTGCGGTAATTGACAAGACTTCACGATTGTCTCTCCTACGGAGGTTTCCGAAACTTTGATCGAAAATCTGATTAGATGTGATTGATCACTTTATTTCCGTTAATCTCGGTGACTGATCGGCAATAAGGCGGATTGCTGAGCACGGGAGTTGTAACAAGGATAGGGGCGTTCTGAAAAGTTTATCTAGACTTTAGTACCGACATTGACCAAGACCTGGCTCGTCAAGCTGGCTTGCATCTCTAGTAGAGTATGTGCTATTGAAGTGTCACTAGCAAACATTTTCGAGGGATCAAAAGAATCATTGACGACTGATACGGGGCAACTCTTTCTAACTTCTGCATCTCGAAGTCAACTCTTTTCTTCCAGGTTTATGGCACTTTGAGGTAATGGGGACATGAGTTTCTACTATCGCCAGCCCGGGGAACATCGTCATATCTCTCCTTGCTAGGCTGTCTTTACAGAAAGCATTGAAATGGTGGAACTATCCAGGTGCTCGCGCTCATGTTAGATTATAACGACGAATCACTTCGTGACTAACTCGATCACATAGCTGGGCAGAAAATGGCATTTTTTTCGCCTTTTTGTTTACCGCATGTTTCGCTATCCTTCTCATTCCTCGCTGGGTTGATCGCGGTTTTGAGAGCTGATCACTGATGGGGCCAAGCGTTTTTGCGTTTTTACGTTTCTTTCAAGTCTGTGCTTCTGACAACGATCAACAAAAGTTGTTGCCAAGACCATGTTGAAAAATTCAGAAAAGCTTGTCATGGGCATTTTGCCCTGTCATCGGCCCAAGCATGAGCTGATTTCTCGTAGGCAGATCTAGGTTAACAGTGTTGTTGGTTCGATGCCCGGTACCTGTCTACCCCTGATGGGCAAAAACCTTGTCCTCCCAGGACGAACTCCTCCGTCGCAGAAAGAGCGAATATCTCTCGGAAATGAGCGCCGCTGTCCGACAATGAGGCGGACCATGACTGCAAAGAAGAGGTGGATGAGGGTGCGAGGAGAAGCTGACGGAGACCGAGCCGATACGAAGGTTGTCAACCGACTGAGACTAGCAATAAGTTTCTACATATAATAGAGCTGTGCTGGGGCCTGGCTTTCGAGCCCGTGGCCATTTGTTTAGTCCTGCCTCCTTCCATTCAATACAACCAGCACTGGGTCGAACTTCTCCATCGAACAACTCGTAGTTTACAGATCAAGATAGAGAATGTTGCTGTTCACGAAAGCGTAAGTTACCCTCAACGATCAAACACAAATGCGACATGATACTTGTAAATTCGAGAAGACACTTTGCTAATATCACGGCAGCAACATTTGGGCTTGTTTGGCTCTGGTCCAGCTATGCTCTGCCACCGCGATTGACGTCACCGGTCTCAGCCCGCGTGGTGCCTACCGTGACGACTCTGGCAGTTCAGACTGTCTTCAAGTTGGTTGTGATACCTCGGTCTGCGCCAAAGACCCTGTCGATGCTCTTGCTGTCGCGTCGAAGGGAGTGAGCCTCATCTTGGGTCCCGATTGTGCTGGATGGGCTGAAGGAAGTCCTTCCGTGGTGCAGGGGGACAAGTCGTGCCCTGCGGGAACACAACTCTACCGTGGAGATTTGAGGGTTTGGCGCGCGTGGAACAATGTTGGAACGAAGTTCACAACCACATTCGTTGCATGGGAACAGTTCAAGGGTGCTACTTGCTGGGGTAGGAAGGATGTCACTTGCGTCAAGGGCCCAAAGCAAGTCCCGGATCCGAACACCGGCTTATGCGGACCATGGGCCCTGTAAACTGACTTCGGGCATCACTCGAAGGGATGACATGGGAGGCTATCAAAGGGACAATCGCGTAATTGCATAGATAATATCCAACCTCAACGGCACACAAAGAAGAAATCTTTTGAGTCTGGCTACTTCTACGTCGACACTTGAATCACCACCATATTCCCCTCAAGTCCTGTCGGCTTGAATGCAAATGCAACGCTCGGGTGGCTCAAAACGAATATGGGCAAGCATTGATCCATGAACATGATCTACGAAGATCTGTTCAAGGCACTGAATGCAAAGAGTGCTCCAGAACCATGGTTGATGTCCGCCTCAAATGTAGAGAACGTCTTATGGCGAGGCAGTATGAGAATGGATACATCACCCACGGCCTAGTCGGGTATCAACCCTGACCGCGCCATAGTGCTTCAAGAATCGTCCCCAAATAGGAGGAGAATACAATCTCTTCCTGCCAGCTCTGGCTATGGGCCACAGGACCCGGCCAGCTCCATCTTCCCAACCAATGGGCCGCTCGCCACCGTAAGCCTGCTCGAATTCGGGAGCGGCACTCATGTAGCCCGGGTCAACAGTGTTCATGGCCACGCCTAGCTTCCAAGCCATCGGCGCCTCCGTCTCCGTAATCATATTCAGCCCAGCCTTTGACATATTGGTGTGAACATGCTTGCTGTTTTTAGCGGAGCTGCGTTGAGTTGACTCGAATATACCTTCTCTGGATGAGACGTTGACAATGTGACCACCTTTTCGCATCGAAGGTAGCAACTCCCGGATCAATATCAGAGGCACAAAAGTGTTGACGCTGTGTGCCGTGATGACATCCTCATAAGGGATCTCCGAGAGTGACTGAACCCAAGATGATGGGGCTGATGTGTCTGTGCCAGATATTTGCAACTTAGACATTGAGTCGGAAACGGACGTGCTTTTCGGAGCTGAAGGCCCAGCAACACTACCAGAAACCTTTCCTTTCACCCCATCAGGAAGGCTGCTGGCACCACCTCGTACACGGGGTGTGTAACCTTGGCGTATGACCACACCTTTTCCATCGTCCGACGGCTTGTCAAGCAGAAACTGCTCATGTTCAATGGCGCGTTCCTCTTTCTTAAGGGGATCCGTAAGAGTTTGAGCGGCGTTGTTGATCAGATAGTCAAGATCCCATCCTTCTTGCTGTAGAACTTTCTTGATGCTTTGGACCAGAGCGAAAGCATCAGCTGCTGCTCGGAAATCCGCCCCAATGATCCTCAATCTCTGGGCCCAGTCATCAAAGTCTGCCTCCTGCCGGTATCGCGAGAGCGCATCTTCGGGATAACGTGACGACACGATAACAGCAGCACCGCAACGGAGCAGCCGCAGGGCCGTGTGGAAGCCGAGATTGACGCGTCCACCAGTAACGACAGCGGTCTTGTCATTTAGTGACATGTTCTCGGGTAGCGACAAAGCTCTTTCCGCGAGGTTGAACTCTCCACAAGGAATGCACATCGATCCCAGTTCTGGATGTGGGTTATCGAGAACCATGCGGCAGACGTAGCAAGTTCGTTTCCGACTGCCCATTGGCATATGTCGGTGCACCCGATCATACGGATTATCGTTAGTGGCTTCTGAAGGCGTATCGGAGAGTCTTGTCTTGATGGTCTCAATCATTTGCTCGAATAGCAGTTGGCGCATACCTGGATCAAGGATGGGCCAAAGGTGGAATGAGACTCTTTTAGATTCAGCTGAAGATGACGGAGGCATGTAAAGAGCGAGAAGGCTGGGCAGCTCTGTTTCGTCTTTTGCAGCCTTTTTCGACAGGTCAAAATCATATCGTAGTTGGTTTGCGACATCTTGAAGTCGTGAGTTCGCGATGAAGTGTTGATAGTCGGACGGTCCCAGAAGAACACTTGGGGGGTCCTCGGCCACTTCAGGAGGACTGGCAGTTCTCTCCTCGGAGGGCTGGTGTGCAGTGCTCTCCTTCATACTTGAAGCTAGTTCGGGGAATCGACTTTCTATTTGTTCAACGACACGCATAAAAGACTCAAGCCACTCCAATTCTGCCGGAGTACTAGGCATGGTGTTCTTGAGCTCTTGAAGCTTCACCCCTTTAGTCGAGCTCAAGCGCGGGAGGGTATCTTCGAGGATGCGAATGCTTTGGATGCCGTCTCTTGTCTTCTGTAGGTCCAAAGAGTAGTCTAGCTCTTCATTGACAGCATGGAATAGCTGGAGACACCAGTCGTATGGTACCAGTATTGGGTGGGCGTACCGAAACGACCATAGTGTACGTCCCGCTCTTCGAGCGTACAAACGTAGTTGCCGAGGAACATGAGCAATGTTCTTCCGTGGGGTTTGAGGTGCCAAGGGAGTCTTCAGGTACATTGGGAACTGCTCGTAGAGATTGGCCAGACGGTGGAGCTCTGATGCCTTTTCATCATTGAGAAGTATCTGTGCCTCGGCAAGACGGGGAATAATTTCGACGCAATCGTCAGGTTTCCAGCCTTTGGCGCGAAACCCCGCAACAGTCCGCGGATGTTGGAAAGCTGTTGAATCTTTGGGTTTGGGCAGATACTGTATGACGGCGTAGAGCTTGGTGCCACGATCCCGAAATTTTTCCTTGTGAAGTATCATCCTGGAGAAGGCGCGCACCAGGTCATCTTCGAGAACAGCTGTGGGACGTGGCCAGTCCGGCAAAGCAGAGGATGAAGCCTTGGCATGTCGGGGCCTAAATTCAGAGTCTGGCTTCGTTGCCATAACGAGCTGTCCCTCTGATAACAAGGAGAGCCTGTTCAAAGCTACCCAGGATTTTGCTAAGTGGCCGAGATGTTGATCGCGTAGTACCACCCATGCTTTGCTGTTGCCGAGAGCTGACTGAAGGGACGTGCCGTGAGGAGAATTTGCGCCATACTGAGTTCCCAGAAGGTCGAGGATGCGGTGATATGGGAGGTCGGCGAGGACAGGCTCAATGAGCTCAGCCGGGGTGACCGAGAGTTGCCGGGCGATTCGAACGATTCTTTGAGGGAGTAGGTCATCCATCATTCTCGTGAAAGACAATCATCTAACCCCTATGGAGGCAGAAAAATCGGGCAAGTAGAGTTCAGATTGGATTGCCAGGTCGAAGTCTGGCTTGTGACGTTGTGGACATATAACTGCCCTGGGAAGCTGAACGTGATTGCTGTTAATACATATAATTTGAATGTCGCCAAGCAACGGACATGTAGCAGTAGAAGTGACTCGACAATGAGGAGAGAAAGGTAGGATGCCAAGACAGTCTCCAAGTTTCTATTGGCTGTGATGACTTGACGGTCAACTGTAGAATGCTTACTCCGTACTTCCATGGTGGTAATCCGAATCGGGAAAATGCACGAACCCCTGGAATGACGCAGCTGACGGCTGCTGCCTAGCGTGGAGAACACTGGCCTCATCAGCACCATGAAATTGAAGGGCGCAAGTTGGAGTAGCAAGGTGTTGCAGATTTCCACGAGCCTCCATGCTATTCTGCTGCGGGTTGTCAACATGTCGGGTCAGACCAGATCGGTCATTCGAGATGGGAATCAAAAGGTCGACTTGTAGAAATGTCGGAGCGAAGGGCGCGGGTGAGTCAAATCAAATCCGCTACTTGTGCTATTTTGATGCCCTGTCCAGTGCAATCGCCCGATCGAATCATGCAGCAACACCAGCAATGTACGCTCAGCCCCTAGTCAGACGCTGCATTTCTTTTCTAGCCAACACCCATACTACTATAGTTATGCTCTACATCGAATCAGGAAGGTTTTCGAACCTGATCTTTGGCTCATTTGTCACATGTTATCGCATGAACATCGCCCGCTCTTACTCCAAGCTTGATAGCGTCTTAAGAATCTACATGTACGCATATTGGAAAAGGATAGCTGGGGATATTGGCGTGAATCAATGACTCCGCAGAACGTGGATGACTACATGGTTACACAAATTCCGATTCAAAAGCACAAACGATTTGGTTCAGATCATTTTCATAGTTCCTCTGTCGCGACGGTAGGCAGGTTGAATTCCACAGGGCTTGGGATAAGGGTGCTAACTTCCTGATGTGGCCAACCAAGTGAAGGACGCATGGAAAAATGGATAAGTTGCAATATAAAGCTCACATTGCAGACATTCCGGTCATCACAGGGACCCATTGCTTGAAGTTCTTTCGTTCTTATCAAACACATGCATAAAACTATCCAACTCCGTAATTCCATCAGTAGTCGAGAACTTCTTTCAAACTGTCTTGTGCTCAGCTAAAAGATTGACAAACTGGTCTATCTTTCGTTTCCTCGTTTCTGGACGTCTCGTCGTCTCGATCCGCCACAGGAAGGCATACCGCTGTGTCTTATTCAAAGCATCAAAGAACTTGTTTGCCTCATTGTTGCGGCGCAACGCCTCCGCAAAGTCTGAAGGCACTTCCATCGTGCTTGCAGAAGAGTAGGCTCGATCCCATCGCCCATCGGCCTTGGCGGCGTTAACCTCAGCCTGTCCAGCTGGTCTCATGCGTTCTGCTTGTGTCAGAGCCGCAACTTTGTCAACGTTCCTCTTTGACCAGAGACTGTTCTTCCGTCGTGGTGTAAACCTCTGGACAAAGTGCTGCTCGTCGAAGGCTTTGCGTTGCCCGTCGATCCAGCCGAAGCAGAGCGCCACATCGAGCGCTTGATCATACGTGACTGTTGGCTTTTCGGCGTTCTTTTTGGAAATTTTGAGCCAAACGCCCAGTGCATTTTGGTACGAGTTCTCCAAGTAGCTCTCCCACTTGGAGTGATCCTCGAAGAGCAGCGTTGGGATTGACTCCGAGGAGTTTGGTGGAATAATTCCATTGCTAGCTAGCATAGGTAAAGATCCTGCTTCGTCCTTGATCTCAGCTTGTAGACTTGCTCTGGTACGTCTCGGCATGGTCGTCGATGAGAACTTCGGCTGGGGACGTTGCTGTGTACGGCGTTGGGCGAGAGGGCTGTGTAGCAGTGATCCTTTGCTACACCAAAGACTTGTATACAAAGACCTCAAGTTTGATTTAAGAGTCGCTTTCATGAGTAAGTAAGCCAGGGGCCAATGGTTTGGCAGAAGTAAGATGTTGTGGAATGAAACTTTGGGGTTGGGATAAGGCACCTGGATACCCCAAAAGCCACCTTCCTGGGTTCAGGCTAGTCTACTTGGGGACGGCGGCTGCAGGTACCCATCTCCGCTACGGGTGTTAGGGGGTCAAGGGACGGAACCCTAACCATAGTCTTGGTAATGAGTTCTTATGCCAATACTCCGTTTGACGTGTTTCCAGATGGTGTACAGTTCCTTGAACTAGATTTCCCCGGATGCAGGCTGCAGATATGCGGACTTGCAAGTGATAGAAATGACAAAATCCACCTGCTACTTGTTGTGTTTTGGAACTATGCCTGCGTGATTTTGTGTGTATGCCTTGAATCCAGTCAGCTTCCGTATCTACTTGTAAATTACCATAGTCTCCGTATCTTCGAACGGTCAAACTCAGTCAATATAGTGCCCATTCGTTCCACGAGTAAGGTTGACGTGTTGGACGGAACGAGGCAAATACATTTTGGTATCTTACAACCTTGCGGCTTCATTCTTGGCACTATCAGTTACCTCAGGCCGGTCGAACTATTCTTCACTCCCGGTTCGCAACCTTCAAAACCTATCTCCGGAAGCGAAAGAGGTGCCCGGATGGTTTGGTTCATATAATTTGCTCACGATGTCGGCGAGAACAAGACGTACCGGGCTGGAAGGGTGTCAAAACCGGGAAGGTTCTTGCTGCTGACCCTATATAATCGCTTCTTCTGCAATATTTCTTTTGCTTTTCTTTCCAACTGGCATCCTCCATACTCAATCATCTTCCCACCGCCTCAAACACTCATACCACTCTATCTTACTCAGTCTTACCGCCCGCAGTTTGACTGCATTGCTTCAGTATCTTGCCTCCAGCATCACCTGACACACTTGTCATCATCGGTTCCCTTTCAGACGCTTCATTTATCAAGATGGATTACACGTCCGACTTGTTGTTTAGCTCAGCGCCGAGATATGTGCGCAAAGAACAGTCCCACAGCAACGACGACGATAAGAGTCACAAGATCTTCTCCAAACACATCGTCGTTCAGGGTATCGATATACCTGACAACATGGCTATTACTAAGAGAGGTTTTATGGGACTGCCGTTCCTCCCAAACATCGCGTCTGATTCACCGAGAGACGAGCTGAAGGCAACCAGCGCTAGAGACGATCTAGATTCCTGGGCAAATCTACTTCGTCGATATGAGCCAGCCGAGAGCATGGCCAACTTGATTAAGAGCTGCTCTTCATGGATCAACATAAGTCAGCTCGATCCCTCATTGGAGAATCTCACACAAGTCAAATTGGCACACACTGTGTACGCGACACTTAAAAACGCCAACTTCGACTGGTGGGCAACACGGTGTCGTTACAAAGCTTACGAGGAAGATTCTGAAGCCGACGACCTTCCGTTCTCGTATTCTCGCTGGCCAAGCCCCCCTCTCGGCACCTCAACAGCCATTGAGTTCCAATGGAACCCCGACCAAAAGGTTCTCAATTGGTTCGATATGATCACAAATAAGACAGTGGAGTGCTCCTTTGAGCAATTCACCGATGGTACCGGGATTCTCGAGTCCATGGAGGACCACGAAGCCTTCAACCATTGGATTGAACTCCGCAAGAAGTGCATATTGAAACTTTGCAAGGAGCCCACCTTGAAGCGCCTGGGAACAACCATTTCCCGCCCCAGAGCCCAGAAGCTCACCGAGGCTGCAGCCCGACGTACACGAGTTGCAAAGAAGATGAGAAAGGAGTGCAAGAAGGGGAAGGGAAGGAAGAATTGAGGAGAGCCAAAGGCTCAGGTGCGAATCCACGCGATCTCGGCACAGAGATGGATTTATGAAATTGGGAAACTTGATTAATCACTTGAAGGTCTTCGTGGGATCATGGACCGTGAAGGCAAGATGCTGTAATTGCCCAGAACGGTTTTGAATACAACTGTACATCATTACTGTCTACATTAATGCATTACACATTATCCCAAGCCATGCTTACTTGGCCATTCCTACTTGCTTGATGTGTAATATTGAGTACGTGTATCAACGATTACCGTACAAGTCCGAGTTCTCTTATCACCTGTGATGACGATGACGGAGTCAGTAGAGTCATAAGTAAAGAGTCAAGTTCGCAAGCTGCCGTGTATCTCAGCCAACTGACGCTTCCAAATTGATTGCCTCGCGGCTGGCTATCGCTTAGTATTCCTCCCAGAACGGCGCAAGGAATATCTGAGGAAACAGTAAGAACCCATCTGGCTTCCCTCAGAATCTGCTTCTTTCCACTCCCGAGGCTGTGTCTGGCCTGACAATCCATTCCGAACCTTGCTCGTCGGGCCTTGACGGTTAAATGTGACTTTGCGTGATGTTTGCTTTTTTCCAACGTAGCCCGACGACATTAGACATGCAAGTGGGATGAATGGAGTAGTACGCCAGTGCAGGCTTTCGGCGCCGGGACTAACATGGAGACTGGGGACCCGGCATCTCGTCTGCAAAGCTTGTCTACCACAACCAGGGAACCCTTGACTCGTCATAACATCTTCGTCTCTAGCTATGTCTCATCCACACTTTGGCTGATGTACGGATGTACGGGAACCAAATTTGGACCAGGGATGATCTGGCTAAAAGCCACGTGGGGGAGGGGTTCAAACAGTCCAAATTCGGACGGCTTCATTCCGAGGTTTGAAACGAAAAGCAGTTATATATCAACGATGAAGCCCGAATGCCTCCAGCCTCGAGAATAGTGAGAATCCTCGTCAATCCACCGAAGTGAGTTTGCATTGCGGGTTTTCGTAATGCTGGCATACCTGCTGTTTCTCTGGGCAACGCTCGCCCTCGCCATCCCAATTGACGATAACCTCTACGAACGACAAGACGACAATCACTGGGTCGTGACATGGACGTCTATGACCCAAGAGGTGGAACAGAGTAATCTTCCACCTTCACCATACGTATGCTGCCTTCTTCCTCTACACCGTGCCTGTACTAATATGACTCTCGTAGAATGAAGGAAGTGTTCAGTTCCGCAACGCGACGCTTCGCCAGACCTTCCACGCTTCTATCGGCGCATCACGCATCCGTTTCCAGCTTACAAACACCTTTGGGGGTTCAGATCTGCCCATCACAGCAGCCTCCGTCGCCTTTCCACTCGGCGGAGCCGCAGGCGTATCTGGAATTGATCCTGCCACCATCAAGGGACTCACTTTCTCCGGGTCTCCGTCTGTGATTATCAAGCAAGGCGCGGTCGTTTACTCTGACCCGATAGACTTTAAGGTGCAACCGCAGGCAAACATCGCGCTGAGTCTGTACTCCCAGCAAGGCCAGTCTGGGACTCGTATCACGGGACACCCCGGCAGTCGCACGACGTCATGGATGCAGACTGGAAATCAGGTGAATACATCGTCTATCGGAGGTGCTAGCACAAAGCACTGGTATTTTGCTAGTGCTGTGGAAGCGTGGGCTCCCAGGAACACGTCTGCGATGATTGTTCTTGGAGATAGCATCTCGGATGGACGTGGGAGCGACGATGACAAGAACAACCGGTTAGCCACGGCCGTCTCATGACAATCTCAATCAACTGATATCTTCACAGCTGGCCCGACCTTCTTCTGGCACGCCTGCAAAAGGAGGGAATAACAAACCTCGCCATCGCAAACCAAGCAGCCGGCGGCAACGCAGTCCTCAGCGGCGGCCTCGGCCCCACCCTCCTAACCCGCTACTCCCGCGACGCGCTCACCCAGCAAGGCGTCTCCCGCGTTCTCATCTTTGAAGGCGTAAACGACATCGGCGGCGGCGGTACCGATACGGGCTCCCAGCAGCGCATCGGCGACGGGCTCATCGGCGCGTACCAGAAGATCGTGGCCGACTGCAAGAAGGCCGGGCTAGCTACCGTCGGGGCGACCATCACGCCGTTTGCGGGGAGCGGGCAGGCGTACTCGAACGCGGAGAGGGAGCGGACGCGCGTGAGGGTGAATAAGTGGATTTTGGAGAGCGAAACGTTTGATCATGTCGTGGATTTTGCGGGATTTATTGGTGATGGGGATAAGTTGAAGGCGCAGTTTGATGGTGGTGATCATTTGCATCCGAATGTGGCCGGGTATCAGGAAATTGCGACCAGGTTTCCGCTGGATGTTCTGAAAGGTTGAAGAGGGGATACGTGAATAACACGGCACTCCTTGGATAGTCCTCAAACTTCGTACATAAGCTTGACTCGGCAACTCATCAAAATGCGACGTTTGAGTCTGACCCGTGGTGGTCGATGTTGCATCATCATGATGGTGACCTGAGATGCGGTTGCGCCTCACTGAGTAGGCAGATTGATCCACATCGAACATCGAAGACTTATCAAAAGCATGGAGCGAAGCCTTAAGCTTACTGTGAGTCGGCTAATCGGCTCCGTAGCTGGGCTGAATGAGTTAGTCTGGCGGGTTTGCCGATCAACGAGGCAGAATCGTGCTTAGCGGCTGAGGGAGGCCTTCGCCTCACTTTGCGCCGGGTGCCTGATGAAGCGCCTCAGAAAGAAGTGAAAAAGTGCTCACTCGAGACTCATAAGCTCATACCTTAGCCCGAGTGTGTTTTCACGAGACACGAGACTCCAGATATCTCTCAAACAACGACTCAATCGAGAGAAAAGCAAGCCGCATCGACATTCATCAGGATGGTTGACGATAGCGATCCGGAGGCGCAGGTTGGGTCTGCCAGCGCTCACCAGTCACAACGGAGGGCCCATGGAACCAATGGGTCCGGATTTCCGCCCCCGTCGCCAACAGCGCAACAACCTTGGACAGATCATAACGCCAACGCCGATAAGACTCGGAGTTGGACCGGCAAGTTTAGCTCACTCAAGACTTTTAGGAACAGCACAAATGGCGAATCGAGCAGGCCTCATCCGCCAATAAGGTCCCGCGTGAGGCCGCCGTCATCACGGGGGTGGTCCAAGCCAGAGAATGGTGGAGCAGTAATCTTCACGGGACATGTAGTCCTCATCATCTTCGAGGTCATTGCAATTGTCATCTCCTCACAGAGCCTTCAACGAGTCAAGAAGTTTCCGGGACTGGTTCAGAGGGCCGACTTTGTCTCGTGAGTTTCTGCCCATCTCGCTCGTCGTTCTTGTAAGCCAGTCGACTCGGCAACACTGACACAAAGACACGCAGCATGATATCGCTGATATCCATGTGCGTCGAGGTTGGCGCTTGGATCATCGTCACCTTGGTGGCGTGCTCTTGGTTTGGGATGGCTCTCTCCGTTGGGTTTGCTGCCCTCCTCTGTCTCAACGCCACCGCGACGGGATCATATCTCATTTTTGCGATGAAGGCCAATCTAGACAAGGCTCTCTGCAATGAATACGGTGAGCAGTCGGCGGAGTGCTGGACTGGACTGAGGATGGGCATGGCGGTGGGCGTGTTCCGGGTGTTGTTGCTGTGAGTGGAGTATGTGAGCCAGACAGGCTGCGGCGTCTTTGCTAACGATTTCGCAGACCAGTCGGCATTGCGACTGTGACTGGGTACTACATGCGAAGGAGGTCGAAGAAACATGAGGGATGAGCAAGCCAAGCATGAGGAAACTTACACATAGACCGAAATCGTAGTGTCGAGAACGCAATTCGTCGAGACCTGGCTTTGCAGATCCACAGCATGAATGATGTATCATTTAGATCTGCAGTCTGGTCCCGAGAGTAAGGGAGGAGGATGAAGTTGATAGAAAATGTTCGAAAGATGTGATGGTTCGCCAGGGCCGCACAATCTGCCAACACACGAGTTGACGGCGGGGACGACCCAGCAGAATGGTAAGGAGGAGCGGGCGCGACGGGACGTCCGGGCTGCCCCTGAACAACTGACGGATCTCTTGCCAATCCCAGCCCATTAACAACGCCTCCCTGCATGGGGATGAATGCCGAGTCGAAGTCAAAACTTTGACGGGAAAGACAAACGGAACCATAAAAGGTGAGATGATACGAGGTGGCAGCAATTGAGGAACTTGAGAATTGAGAGAATGTTCAAATCCCGAAGTCTTATATCCGGATGAGAATGCCGCTGACGTGTATGCAAGTCTGCAACACAGAGATTAAGTCTTCAATAATTCAGTAATGCGCTCGGCTCTGTGCTTTTGTGATGGATGCAAGTCTCTCCCGGATGGGCAAATGATAGTCTTCAATGCAACGTTCGAGTCCGCTTTCGCTCATTAACAGACAGAGCCAACCTAGCAGCAATGAGCAAGATTTGCTTTTTTCACTCATGTGGTGAGCTGTGCATGTCAATCATCGTCAAACTACACGCCCATCAGCCCATCCATGAGTCCTCCCACACCTCCGTAGAAACTTGCAGACAGAGACATGCAGAAAATGGATGGGCAGAGCAAACCCCGTTGGCAAGCAAGGGGAAGAGGGTTGCAGCGGCATCTATCCATACCACCGGCGCAATTTCCAGCCAAACGGCACCCTCTCAGACGAGGCAGCTGCTTCTTGAAATGAAGTTGGGGATTGGGTGCCATGACAAAAAAGAAAGAATGACAACCAGGGCCCCCCCGATCAAGCCCTGTTGGCGTCTCCCCGCCGAGCTTCCGCGGTGGGAGCCACGGGGAAGAGTGGCTGTTTATTGCCGCCCAGGATCTCCCAGGAATTGGTGTGCCATTCTGTCGGGAACCCTGCACAACCCCACCATAATCAACGAGTGGTCGTATCACCATCCTGTCGCCAGACCTTTTTGTCTTGTCCAGGGATTGTAGGAGCGTCCGTCTGCAGAAAAGGCTTCGGCTTGGGACGATGAAGGTGGTCAGTTAAAAGTGTGACCGTTCCCTGTCTCGCCAATGTGCAGACTTTCACGCGGGCCGGAACCCAACGCTCTGGATTCGGGATTTCTTAAAGCGTGATAGTGGTCGCCTTGCTGCGCCGCCAGCTTGGGACTTGCTCGTCCTGTGTTGGCGTGTGCGAGAGTCCGAAAGAAAAGATCAGAGGATAGTACGACTTTTTGTCCTCCAGTTTGAGGACTCATTCTGTGCAATCTTTGCTTTTCCTGCTCTACTCACTCCCTTACCCAAAGCTGGCTGCTAGCACCATCGATCATTGCTGATTCGAACTCAACTGGCGAAGAGAGAAGCCGTACGCCTTGTTAGTGTGGTGTTTTCGTCCTGCAGGATGACCATAACGAATTCTGGTTCCTATCCCGACTTGGAGAACATCGAATATCATGGTATTGGCATGAGCCCGGAGGTCAACGTACTTGGCTTCTGTCGCGATGGATCGAGATCACCCGGCGGATCCAGCATCAGCTTAGAACCGAGGATAAAGGAGAACAGCGTGTTCCGGTAACGTTCACTCTGCTCGGCGAAACGAGAAATGTGTTCTAATCGAAAACAGCCCAGAGATTGAGCTCCCAAAACAAGCTTTTCGTCGGTCATCCGCCCCATCTCCTGAGTCTATCGTGGATGTCAATGGAAGCACTGCCAAGAGTATACACTTGCAACATGACGAGACAGTACGAGCAGCGCGGTCGCGGCCTGGAACTCCAGCAACGCCTGAGGCTTCATCGTCTGGTAGCTTGGCGTCAAAAACACCACCAACCGCTGGGCCGTTGGAATCGTACTTGGCATGCCCTCAATCGCATGAGAGACGGGCGCTATGGCTGCCTCCCGACAAAGATGACGGGCGTGACGCGAACTCTTCCGACTGCGGATCGGTAATTCTTGGGAAGAGAAGAGTACCTGGAGTGTATGAACAGATCGAGCGTAGCACGTCGCCTTTCGGGACTACCGAAGGCACCGAAGATGCCAAAGCGGAGCAGCCATTGACGCATTACTTGTCCTCAGTCCACCCCCACGAAGTACTAGCGTATCAGATGTGGGAACTTGCTTCGAAAGACAACGAGCAAGACCCAGGCTTGGAATTGAGTGTGCCCAGGCTATCGGAAAATACGGTATTGGCTTCGAATTCGCCCATATCTCCCGAGGTCAGCAGCCATAGGGAAGTCGATATCCCAGCAGCACCTGCAGTGCCGTTGCCCGCAGTATCGTTACCACAAGGGCCCATCGAGGTGGGATATGAACGTCGTGGTTCGGACTCAGCCATATCAGACCTTGAGACTGAAGAGCTGTACCAGCTTTTGTATGTAGAATCTGACAATCGTCCTTGATCATACACTTTGCTGACGCTTGACAGGGGAGAACGGCGGCGGGCAAGAGAGGCGGGGAGGACCAGGACATTCCAGCCAGCGAGAGCTCCGAGAGGGAGAGTCGAGAAGTCCAAGAGAATGAGGCCTCGGAGAGCATGACGAGACAGCTGGCAGCTACATGCTGAGGCGACCTGCCTGATTCTCAACGCACCTAATACTTGGTGGCGTAATAGTTGGTGGCGACGACAGCAATCGCGGGTGACTCAGTAGTAGTGTCTGGCGTTCCCGTATTTGAAGTAGCGTGGGCTGTACGATGTTGCATCGCGGCTGTTATCGAGAGAATTCCCTGTGCAAGGGACGATGGCAACATGGAACGTTGAGGGCAGATCGACTCCTCTGAGCGACGTGTGGCCAAGACGATGAGTTATGAGATTGATGGCGGATGACTTGATACGAAGAATCGCTCTAGAGATATCGCAAATAAATTTTCGAGACTATACATTGGTTCGAAGAAGGCGAAGTTCCGGGAATCGAGGAAATCATGTCATTGTCTAGATGTAATTCGATCCAAGTGGTGGGGTCTGGTGAGCGAGTTCGCAAGCAAGCCAGCCACTGTCTCGTTTGCACCAATTGTCATTGCATAGTCATGGCCGGCAATTGGTCTTTCCTGTCGAGGTATGTGACCGTACGTTTTTCATAGGGATAGGGCGCAGGGCTAGAAGCCAAAGAGGCGATAGTTGATAATGGAGTTTTGGATGGTGATGAACCAAAGGAGAGCAATGGAAGCTGGAGGCAAAAGGAGACCCCACCATGAATGCTTATCTAATCTTATCGATAAATCCCCACCCCTCTTATCGTAATCTTCTTATCGACGACTTCGGTTGAGCTTGGACGCGCCGAGCTTCGCACCTACCAAAGTGCCTGATTACCTGCCAGTCGCTGTCGCCGCTTCGACGGGAAGTGCGACTCGACTCATTATCATCGCATCACATTCACCACCCGAATAAATCCTCGGCATACCGACCGCATTATAACGGCGCTGCCAATGGCGCCGTGCGAGCTCCATGTATAGCCGCGAAAACAAGATCATGAGAAAACTCCTCGGCAAAGTAACTGCCGAAAGCAGCACCGACACCCACTCCATCGGCATCACCAGTGCGCCGCAATACCAGGCCTCCTACAGACCCAGTGCCTCTCAGAACGTCGTCTACCCTGCCGGCGCCCCCATTCTATGCCTCGATACCTCCACCGATCACCGAGCTGCTGTCATCGCCGGTAGACATGTTCTCAAGACTATCCTCTTCGACGGCCTGTCCGTCAGCGAAGGCACCGACCTCCGCGCCGCTATCAATTCCGCCTCGAGCAAGGGCGCATCGAGCTCTCTGACGGCAGACCAACTCTCCATTCGAGACGTCAAATGGCATGGCGACGCCACCATCTTCACTGCCTGTGCCAACGGCAAGATCTTCTCCTACGACCTTTCGAGGATTGCGACCGGCGGCGCTGCGCTCGAGTTCGTTCAGACGAGGGAGGATTCGCGACAGGTCAACAGTCTCGACATCAACCCTCATAGGCAAACCACCTTACTCTCCGGGAGTCAGGATGGCCTGGTGCGGTATTTCGACATTCGCGCGCCAGTACAAAGCAGGTCAGGGGGGCTCACCTACAGCCCTCGAGGGGCATACAAGTGCAATGCGGACGGAGTCCGGCAGGTCAAGTGGTCACCCAAAGATGGCTTCTACTTTGCCTGTGGCACCGAGTCTGGCGTCGTGCTCAAGTGGGACGTACGCAAGATTGCTCAGCCATTGCTCAAGATCCCTGCGCATGACAAGGCCTGCGCCTCCATCTCGTGGCATCCGGATGGCAACCATCTGATCAGCGGCGGCTGGGACAGCAAATGCGCTGTATGGGATATGTCCAAGAATGCTGATAAACGTCAAAAGCCTCGATGGGTCATCTACACACCCTCCTCTGTATCTGCGGTGACGTGGCGGCCTGGTCTTTGGTCTGCCAGCGCTCAGGGAAAACGCGCCGCTCAGGTTGCTGTCTCTTACGACGACGGCAGCCACAAGCGATACGGTATCAACGCCGTACACATTTGGGACTTGGCCAGGCCATCCATGCCATACAAGGAGATTGAGCGCTTCGAGATCTCCCCCTCAGGTCTGTTGTGGCAGAACCAGGACCTTCTCTGGACCGTCGGCCACGACGGCTTTTTCAACCAATGCGATGTAGCATTTGCCCCGAAAGTCCTCGATAGGCAATCTGTGTCGACGATGGCACTATCTGCTAGAGGCGATGCCGTCATGTTCCTCGACGAGCGACTACATGACCGCCCACGACCTCCCATCGTCCATCATCAGCCAAGCGTCGTGCCTCCACGAACATCCTACAGCTCAAGTCCGACGACACCGATGCTGAGCATCAGTCGCAGTGATTCTGAAGAAGATGTCGTCGGCAGCTTTTTAGGGCCTCGTAGGCGAGTGAGCAGGAAACGAAGGCACAGTCTGCGCTCCATCCCCGTTCTCAGCACCACCCCTCCATCAGGACCAGGCTTAGGCGACGATCTCGTTCTGGGTCTTGAGCAAGCCATCAAAGTCACAGGCACTTACAAGACTCAGCAGTCTATGGCTGTTGGTCATGTGCCTGCAGCAGCAAGAGTCGATGTTTATCAATATCTTTCCAGCTACTATCTTGAGACAATGGACAAAGACCTCCCGTTTGTCGATGGAGCGAAACCACTAGCGCAAAGAATCTCTGGCATTATGGAGAAATACGCACGCGCTGCAGAACACGTCAATCTGTTCCGCCTAGCACAGACATGGCGGATTCTGGCTTACTCAATGAACCTCTTGTTGAGCAGAAGAGCGCAGTTCCACCTCGAGACGCGACTTGGGCGATTCCAGAAGAGGCGGTCCATTTCCAAAGGCAAAGATGTACCCAAGCTCAGGGTACCGAGAGCATTGGATGTTGTTGTGGAGATGAATGGGGAAGAAACCCCTCGACGGCCGTCAGCTCTTACATCCAATGGCATAGACAGCAAGTCTTTGGGGCCGCGGTCCTTGCTCTCCGAAGAGATTGAAAGCACATCCAACGTTGCAACCCCAATTGCGAGGGCCATCAACGAGGAAAATGCGGATCAGTTTGAGGAAGCTCAGCTGCCGCCGGTCAAAGAGTTGGATAGCTTTGCTTTGCCCCCCGCTGCCCACAGTACGTTCAACATAAGTCCAAGGAGACGGCTGGACTCGGTTCCTTTGTCTACTACAAGTCATGAAAGCGATCAGACGCAGGCCTCCATCACAGAGGGATACGACTTCTATGATACTGACGCACTGTCTCAAGCGATAGATGTGCCCGAGCCAAAGAAAAAGGAGCAGAAGCCCTTGGACTATGGCCCCCGCACGCCGAATAGTCGACGCCCGTTGCGACATGACTCTGATGGCTTTTCTCAAATGTTCTCCATGTCCGAGAGCAGCCGGCAAACTTCTGGGCTGGCATCATCCTCCGAAGGGGGTACATCAGCGTCGGCTCACTCCATCACTAGCTATCCCGCTCAGCTTGCACATCAAAGGAATGCTAAAGAGCAGGGCGAATATGAAAGCCGCATCCGTGGCAAAGAAATCGAGGACTCTCCAGAACATGGTGCCCTGGCGTCGCTGCATGGTCCTGGCGAGAGTATGCCCAAAGAATCTCCAGAAGAAATCTTTATGATTTCTCAGACGACCATGGCTTCTGATACAGCTACGGATGAACCGTCGACACATTCACAGCTGGGATCACTACCTGCGACCTACGAAGACCATGCACCTCTTCACGTCGGTGTTGCTGCGTCGAGCCCTCCGAGGATCGCTACGGCCCCTCAACACGACACAACACCGAATATTCTCGAGTCCGACTACCTCCCATGGCCGGAGGACCCATCATACCCACATCCTTTATCATCGAACCCAGAGGAGGACCGCTCACCGCCGCTGAACCCGTATACCCTCCTATCTCGCGCCCTGGATTTTGAAACACGGACATCAGCACTCAACGCCTCCGCCATGGTCCTACTGCTGAAGCCCCTCGTGCCCGAATCCGTCATCGATCCCCATCGCGCATCCTCCATCCTCCGGCAACACCACTCACGCCTGACAGGAATGAAGCTCTTCATCGAAGCTGCCCTCCTCCGCAAGCTCTGTATCAAGGGTTGGCCCGAAGGTATTCCAGATTGGGGCGAAAACTACACATCCATTTTCGGCCCCGCTCAACAAGGCGTCAAGGGCGGTTTCATCTGTCCTAGCTGCCACAAGCCGCGAGAGCTGGACCCGTCTCTCGGCTCCAGGGCCCTGTGGAAATGCGACCGCTGCCGAACAACAATGGCCCCTTGCGCCGTATGCGGCCACCGCGAGACCACAGCCACGATGCTCTCCCTCGCCG